TCTCGACGGCCATGCTGGAAACATCATCTCAGTCACAAGACGCTTTGCATCTCACGCTGATGCTTGCACAATCTTGCACAAGGACTGCCGACCTGGTGCCGCTTTGAAAGGAACCTCTGACAGTCCAATCGCCTCAACTGCATGTGGACATGCTGCCTCCAGCTGCTCAAAGCAAGGTGACCACTGAAAACACCTCCCACGAGGCCCTATCCCGCATCACGCGGCCCAACAACGGAATGGAAAAGACCTGCGATGCATATCTCTGAAACTCAGAGCGCACTGCCAATGCACACAATTGCACGCAAATCTCAAGAATCTGGCATAGTTTGCCACTAGCACTCGCACATCAGCACATCGATGGAGCGGTGCCATCGGCACCGCTAACCTAGGCGTCGGATTGCTGCCATGAATCCCTTTTTGATTTTGTCACGGGAAAACGTCTTACAATGATAGGAGGGTAAGGCCTGGACACCGCATCCAGAAACGACAGGTGGTTCATCCTGGTTTCGCGCTTTCTGCGAGCCCATACCACCCTGCGTATTCTCGGGCTCCCACAACAACACCGTGGGTTTGCCAGAAACACCCAAAAAGTTCCTGGCCAGGCACAGGCTGGCATGTTGCTGCTGCAACAATTTGACAAATGTCCTAGCACAGCCTCCGACATGCTGAGGCCAAAACTCATTGATCTGAAATGTTTCCAATTGAATCCATGGGCAAATCCTGAATAGCCTCGATTGGGTGTTGCATGCGTACGAAACACAGCAACCACCATAAACTGCCCAAACAAGACAACTCCAGCCGAGCAACGCCCGCCATGCCAAAACCAAATATGCCTTCAACGTGGCGTGCGTAAGCATGCCAAAAAATTTGTGCAAACATCCAAAAACATACACGGACAAACTCGCACGCGCACACACACACACACACACACACCTCGCACGCACGCACACACACACACACACACATGTACATTTATTGGCTTGAGGAACGAAACCGATCATGCAGTGGCTCACTCAAACCAAAAAAACGCATAGGCTCTTGGAAAACAACTTCAATATGCTCTCATCATGCCATGCTGTCCTGAGACTGTGCTCCGATGCGACGTGCGGCACGCGTGCTAGCCAAAAACAGGCAAGAATGCTTCTTGCTGATGCTTGCTCTGCAACCTCCATCGCCGCGCTCCTGTCCAAACCATGTTGGATGTACAACCGCCAGATCGCATGACAGCCATGCTAATTACCACCGTCTGCCTGCTTGCTATTGCGACACGAGTGCAAACGGCATGTGTGGGGTGTACGCTGTACGTCGCGCGCACGACGATCTCCCACACATTGCTCTTGACATACCTTCACAATTGCCATGCAGGCTGATGCTCTCCTGGATGCTGCGGAATACCCGCCCAACATGTTTTTTTTAATTCTCAAGCAGTTGATGAGCACGTCGCACCGTTTGAAGTTCCGTCGGCGAGAACAAGGATGTGGTCAGGTTGGTAGTGGAATACGGGTGGGGATTTTGGTTTGGCCTTTTTCTCAAGCTTACAAACGTTCTCCTTCTGCAATACATCCTATAAAAATGTGAGAACAACCGCGTTTTTCCCATTCGGAGAGATGTCTTTAAACAACCATGTGACACATCCAGGAGTGAAACCCGCAATAAATCATGATAACAACCCGCAAGGACGAGTAAAACAACCACACACGATGCAATACAACACTGCAAGATCACTCGTCCTGACGCGAACTCTTTATGGGGTGGATCATAAGCCACCTCACATCTCACATGCCCCATGCATCACGGCAGACACTGGTTCAGGTGTGGACATGATTTTCCAGTTCCGGGTTTTCTCGTAGACGCATTCAAAACACACGGCGCCTCCAGGCCTGTGCATGTTGCACCAGCGTATCAGTTTTTTTTAATTGTTCGTTTTGCACAACACATGACACACACATGTTCTAACCACAACACCAAAGCAACAACAAGAATAATTTTCCGGCAATGAGGACCATGCAATGAGCGTGATATCCGTGCTACGAGCAGCGATTGGGTGACTGCATGCACAGGCTCTCCACGCTACACATACACCTACACATACACCTACACCTACACCTACACTTACATATACATATACATATACATGTACATGTACATGTACATGTACATATGCATATACATATACATGAACATATACATATACATATTCTTATATACATATACATATACATACACATAGATATAAACATATACATAGACATAGACATATACATAGACATATACATATACATAGACATATACATATACATATACATATACATATACACTGCATATACATGCACGTCTCTCTCACTCACTCACATATTCATATTCATATTCATATTCATATTCATATTCATATTCATATTCATATTCATAATCATAATCATATTCATAATCATATTCATATTCATATTCATATTCACATTCATATTCATATTCATATTCATATTCATATTCATATTCATTTCATATTCATGATATATTCATATTCATATTCATATTAATTCATATTCATATTCCATATTCATATTCATATTCATATTCATATTCATATTCATATGCCTATTCATATGCATATCCATATACACATCCATATACATATACATATACATATACATATACATATACAGATACATATACAGATACAATATACATATACATATACATATACATATACATATACATATACATATACATATACATATACATGTACATGTACATGTACATGTACATGTACATGTACATGTACATGTACACGCTTACGCAAAAAAAATCAAACCCACACACAAACTCCCCATAACAACCAACCTATGGTGCCGACTACGACAGGTCTAAAGAAATCGATGGCCATTCACTCACACAACCTCACAAACGCTCAAGGTTTATGATATCTATGGCACACCAAACCAAACCATGTGAGGCCGAAACAATTAAGAGGCCACTCATCCTCCGTTGCAGCGCTGCACGCCTGCATTGCTGCGGCACGGCACCCTTGTGCAATGCTGAATAGGATGAGCGCCCCGGCGTCCCGGGCGGCACACAGATCTCAACAACTTTTGCCGTCAGAGTGAATGCCCAAGCCTTGGGAAAACAACTCACGTCAGAGAACGCCTTGCATACTAGGGAGAATTGCTGCCGGAAAACGGGCAGCAGTGTAAAGACCAGCCCGAGCCCGAACATGCACCTCAAGGTCGCAACCACCAAAGTTTGCAGGAAAGGTGTCCAAAAATCCAAATGCTTGGGCGCCATGCTGTCCGAGTTTGTCAGGAAAGCACGCCATGGTGCACCACACATGTGAGCGTTGCGGAAAGTCAGATCCTAACTTTTCTAACTTGCATTGAAAAAATTGTGCGTGCGTGCTCTCGTGCGCAGAACCCACTCCACCTACGAATGTCCATGAAGCGAGTCTTTTTACATCCATCATCATCAATATGGCATTGGCTGGATCCAGGCGTGTGTGGTCACCACTCACTCACATTCGTTTTCGTTGCATGTTGATATGCCATGCTGCCGCGTGTGCGGCACAGATGGTTCAATATGCTCCGGTTGATGGCTGAGTGCACAAGCAAGCACATTTGAGTGCTGACATCTGCGGACAAGGTCTTCTACAAGCTCGAACATGTGGGAGCGCGCGGATTTCAGTGCCTCTACCCGCAACTGCGGTGTTGTTATCCCGGTGAGTAGTCAAAGGTGAGGTACAAGAGCTAAGCCCTACAAGGCCTCTCGACATTCACACAGCGCACGTTTGTGGGGCGCTCGCCTCGTGCCTCACCTTGCGCCGCCTTCCCCGACCCTTGCCTCCTGCCCAGGCTGACTCGACCGCCGGCGCCCCCTTGAGGCTGACCGGCTCGTGTGCACGCTGGCAAACGCGCTTCCGAGGCTCCCCCTCCTCCCTGACGGGTTCCAGCCTCTGCCCATTTCATCCCTTGTTGATTTTGTTGCCCCGGCTTTCTTCCCAAGGATCCTGCGCGCCACCTTGGCAGCCGCCTGACGTGCGCCCGCCGGGTTGTGCAACAGAAAAACATCCGAAACAAATTTCGCGACCAGAGTTCAAAAAAAATCAAACAAAAAAAACGTGTCGCGTGTGTTTGGAAGCACTCGATGCGCCGCGGCCGTTCCTGATATGTGTGCGTCACCAATTGCACTTTGGGTGTTTGACCCAGTTCCGCGCGCAAGCCTCGCGCCCGGCACTGCCGCCGGGCGTCATTGTTTTATGTTGCAACGATGTCGCGGCCACGTGAGGTGCAGGGGGATCATTTGTTTTTTTTCGTTGTTATGCACCGGGACGTGGAGTGGACGCCTGAACCGACTGGGCACGACGCGGGCATTGCAGCGTGGCGACCCGCCTGGGTAATGCCCTGTGCTCGGGAAGTCGAGCTGGATAACATCCATGTCCCTGCAGATGCCGGAGGGTCATCCAAAGGTTGCGGCAGTCGGCTGTGGCGGGCATACGATGCCTTCACCGTTCTCACGGGGCCAACGAAGGACCTGAGCACTCCTGCCGTTAGGCCGGCGCGCCGCCCTCGCAAGCATCTGAGGTCGGGTCTGGGCTCTGGAATGGCGGTGCGTTCTGGCTGCCGCACGGCCCGCCCTCAAGCGATGTGAGGCCGAGCACCAACTCCTGGCTGTGTTTTTTTTTGTTTTACTTTGCCATGCAGCTGCGGCAGACCTCGCAGTCGCTCTGCTTGTGAAAGGCGAGCCGACCCGCGTGCCACGTCCGCCAGCACGGCTCCGGCTGGCGACCTCCCAGCTCATCGGTAGGGGTGCTGGTGCGCGATGGTGGTCGCAGAGCAGCACCGCAGCACCGCACGGGCAAGCAGCGCAGCGGTCTCCGCACACATCGAACCGTCGCCGGCAGCGACATGTGGCGGAGTCGCGGGGGGGCGCAGACCCCGCAGGGTTAAGCCGCCTCCAGGAGGACGCGCCAGACCTTGTCGTGTTGCCTTTTTTGTCGTGCAAGCGCGCGTGGTCAGCGGCGAGCTTGGGCCACGAAGCTAACGTGCAAATTGAAGCCAGAAACCCGCTTTTAGTGTTTTTTCAAATCTAACGCGCAAGGCGTCACTGTATCCGTCTGCAATGCCCCACAACGATGTCCTCGCTGTCCTTGATCCCTAGTAGAGCTACCAAACGCTCTACAAATCTGGCAGGCGTGGCACAGCTTGCAGCAGCTCGCGAGCCTCGTGCAATCCTGTGTCCGGACGTACTCGTCGTGCCCAATGGGACCCCAAAAGCCAGGGAGCATCAGGACTGGCTCCGGCAACGGCTTGTTTCTACGCCACAGTTTTGCTCCGAGCTCTTCGACGCCGGCATGACAGTGGTCGCCGTGCAAAGTGCGTCGCCGAACTCCAAGAGAGCTACGGCACATGGCGGCAAGGGAGGGCGCAACCGAAGAGTCGACGAGCACGTTACAAAGGAGTGGCAGGTCGCCGAGAATGTTGGAAGTGCCGTGGAGGGGCAGGGAAAGCAGACTTGCACAGAAGGCTCAGCTCAACAGCTTCGGCACTCCATTGGCCCCTGCCTCAAGGGCAAACACGCAGAGGCCCCAGAAAAATTATAAATCCAAAGGTCTGGACTTCCAGTAGCCTTAGTAGCCTTTTTGGCTCAAGCATGAAGCCCCGAGCTGGACCTTCTCGAAACAATGCAATGGCGCATGCGTGCAGCAAAGCATAGCAGCGACAGGTCCCAGCAGTGGACATGGCCGGTCGCCAGGGGTAAAAGTTGCAGGGTGACGTGCTTTTCTGCCCACTGCTGACGGAATGTTGGTGCAGCTCGCGTGAGGGTTGTAGGGTTTGCGTTTTTGGGATTGGGGCTCGTGTTGCTTCCTTCCGCCTTTGCTGATCTACTTGTCACGTCAGGCCTGAAAGCCCGTAGGCAGCCCATCTAGGGTTCAGGCACATCTAGCATTAACTATACTTGCTTTGTGCGTATAAACTGCGTGAGATGGGATCGAAGAACGTAACTGCGTAACTGACCTGTGGAGCCGAAAGCTCGCTGCGCGCGGCGCAACAAGCGCGATGTGCAGACTCTGTTGCTGAGCTTTTGGATGCTGTTATATGCCGGCGTGCCAATAAGATGTTTTTTCCGCGCCTTTTTTCCGCCTGCAGGGCAGCTGTCCCGCTGCGCTCTAAACTACGCCGCCAGGGGCAGGCTTACTGCCCGCATTGACTTGTGCCAGCACGTCGCCTGCACGTCGGTTGAACGGCTACGGGCGCAGCGGCAGGCGACTAGGGCCCGCAGGGCTTGCGAGCTCAAGCATCCGCTCGAGGGGCGGCTCATCCGTTTGACGCGGGTGGAGCGGCGCGGGATGGCGCGGGCCAAGCCTGCTCCAGCGCCGTGTTGGCGACGGCCTGTTGAACGGCCAGCCCAAGTATGCCCCACCAACAGCGGGACCAGCCCGCAGCGGCCGCACAGCGAAGAGCGGGAGGCGCTCGCTGCGACCGGACACGCAAGAACTGGTGCACGAAGCGGCCACCCGGCCAGCTTCGCCATTCCAGCGCCCCCCGATCTCCGCGCCCAGGACCACGAGCTCCTGAAGCCCCACGCTGCAAAGCTCTGGGTAAGTGGAGCGTTTGCGGCGTTCGGCCACCCGGAGCACGGCGCCGTCCGTCTCAGCGGCGCCCGGCTGTGGATGCCCTGTCCGCACGAGTGGTGAGACGAGAGTATACGAGAGTCGCATCGCAGCACAACGCGCGCCCCCGCAGCGTGGCGCCGTAGAAAACTAGGTTGAGCCGTCTTCGGTCATCGACCGGCCCTCCCAGTGCAGTAGTGTGCACCATTGTTGGGCCGCCTCGCGGGCTACGCGTACCCAGGCTGGGCGCGAAGGGCGTCGTGCCAACAACCCCTTTCTAGGGCAGGCCAGGGCGCGGTCCCCGTACTGGTCGACCTGTTGGCCGCAACCAATACATGAGCCGGAGCGGCTGGCGGCTGGGGCTAAAGCGGCCGGCGCAAACGCAAGCGACGTGCATGGCCTGCGGGGCGAGAGTAAGTGCAGCTTCGCTTGGCACTGCCGAGAACGAAGCACCCGCGTGCGGCCGGCCGTGCGTGCGTAGCAGGGCTTGGGATGTAGGCTGCAAAGCCGGCAGCAGAACGCGATCGCGACAGTAGAGGTTTCGTGTCCGTGCCGCGTGGAACTCCAGCCACGCGGCCAGTCCCACGGGCCTGCATCACGGGGTTGTTGCGGCAGGGCGCAGTTGTAGGCTGCTTGCCAGCTGGGGCATGCTTCCCAGCCTTCCGCTTGCATCAGGTCTCGCAGCCGCTGCTTCGCGCCAAGGGGTGCCTTCCGCGCTCCAGAGGCCAAGCAGCGGTCGCCGCGCCGGGCAAGCGGAACGGAGGAGGGAGAGCATCCATCCACGCTGCCCAGTTCGCCGCGGCAGCCGTCCGGTCCGCTCCGCTGACTGGCAAACCAAGCCTGGCAATGGTCGTGCGCCCGCGCGTAGTATGCCGACTCCGAAGGTGGGAGCGTTCGCAAGGCATGGTTGGCGCGGGGCATCACGGGGCGACACGCAAAAAAGGAGCAACAGCCAAGGCGCACTGGAGGTCTGGGAATTGAGGGCTCGTCCAGTAGGCGGTGTTCCTCCTCAAGGCCCGCATGCCCGAAGCCGGCGGCAACCCCGCGCCTGTCCTCGCGCAGCAGTGACGTGGCCACTGATCCAGCTGCGAGCTGGACGCGGCGTTCAGGTTCGTACGTCAAAAACTTTGCCAGTCTAGGCGAGCGTGGCTGCAGAGGTCGCCGCTCGGCGTTGGTCAGCGCACGCCACGTGGCCTCCGTGCCAGGCACGAGTTCCGCCGCAGCCAGCACTTGGCAAGCCCGGCTGACTTTTGCGCACGCCTGGTGCGCTTACGCTGGTCGGTGCTTACGCTGGTCGGTTTGTGGGCCGAGGTCGCTGCCGGGACAGGATGAGCTGGGTCCATTCGCCACGTTGGAATGGCCCGGTCCAGCATAAGCAACATGCATTGCGCGCGGCAAGCTCTGGTGGCAGCGGCGACCCGGGGCGCGCGGGGCCGCCGCCGGCGAGGCTGGCGACAGCGAGGGCCGGCTGCCGGGGCTGCGCGGAGGTCGCTGGCAAGCGTCTTGGGGCCCCCGCCGCGCCTGCATAGGCTTCCAGCATTGTTCGCTCGGACGCGGGTTGCTGCCCCCTGACCAGATGGAGCCCCTCGCAACGCCTCCAAAGCTCTGTGCCGGCGGGAGGCGCTCCGGACCCGTGTGTCTGTGGCTCCCCGACCCGCCAGCCCCGGCACGGATCGACAGCGCGTCTTGGGGCTCGTGGGCTTGCGGCGGCGACCTCCTCCCGCAAACACCGTCCAAAATCCCGGGCTGCAGTGGCGGGCTTGGTTTGTGCCTGCCGCCGGCTCAGCTGGGCAAAGCCCGGTAGGCTGCCGCGGCCCGCCCGCGTGGCCGCCACGGCCCGCTCGTGTGGCTTCGGCTGCGTTCCCACCCGCGCTTTCCATCCGGCAGCTGTGCACGAGGCCCTGTAGGCCTATCAAGGCATCCCAAGCCTGGCAGCGGCCAATCTCGGGCTCCGGCACGCGCGGCACGCCGACATCGCTCTGGAAAGGCTGTGGGTTGGGGGAGCAAAAAAGGCTGCGGCACAGAACTGAAGCTGGAGAAAGTAAACAGCACACGTTCAAAGCGAGCTTGGCCAAAGGGCCGAGGCTGTTTTGGCGCCCTGCCCTCCCCCCCCTCCTATCGGTCCATCGTGTACGCCCGGGCCTGCGTTGAAGGAAGTTTCTGATCCCTCTCGGACTTTTGCGCCTTCAAGCCCGAAACCCTCGTCCTGCTGCGTAATTCTGATTGTGATTGCTTTACTGCAGCATCCGAGAGATTGAGATCGTCGCTTTGCTGCGCAAACACAAAATGGATGTCGCCTCGAAGACGGTGACGATGACTCTTTGGGCGAGAAAGACAGACGGCGTCGGGCATCTCGTGGCAAGAACTCACAAGTGCTTTTGTGGGATTGTCAAGCAAAAAATTTGCCCCTTCCACCTGGCAGCAGACTTTGCTCAGCGGGCGAGCAACGATCCAGAGGCTCCATTGTTTCCTGACGGCGAAGGTGCCCCATTGACAAAAGCTGCTACGATCAGCGTCGTACGCAAAGCAATCTGCAAAGAAGCGGTGTGCCGCTTACTCGCCCCGGCCCATGTTTAGCGGGGCACAGTTACTGACCAGACTCAGGGTTCCGCTCTCAACAATCCTGCTGTTGGAAGGTTGGAGTAGCAAGAGCATAGAACGATACGTTCAGGAAGCCGAGCTTCGGCGCAGACAACCCTAACAGAGGATAACAAAAGCATGTGGTGTCATGGCAGCGCTGGCCAGACTCGAGGCGAAGCTGTAGGAGCTGGCTTCCCAGATTGAAGCCCTCCAGGAGCGACCGCCCCTAGTGGTGCTGAAGAACGCTTATGCGCGTGATCCTAACGAGGCCACGGCGCTACCCTTGTTGCGGCGAACCCGTTGCGGGGCGCCATATGGAGCTGCTCGCCTATGACGAACGCGGCTCAGCCGACCGCCGCCCCCCGACTCCAGTAGGAGCGCCACTGATCATCCCAGGCACCATGCAATGGGCAATGCCAACTTTGCAGGTGGCACTCTACGCCCCAGCAAGGCTTCCTTTGGAAAGCAACCTGTTTGGCAGAGCGGCAGAGCGCTGCAAGGCCCGCCGTGAACCAGGCGGACGCCCGACACCAAATCGCACATCACTTGACACCATTGGCCCACTGCTGGCATCCTTCAGGGACGCATCCTCTACCCTATGGTGAGAATCGATTGGCAGTGTGGTAGGTACGACAAAGTGAGATCTTCCAACGGTGAGGTTTTTTTGTCACTCTCACCTACGGCAACACGTAGTGCTTGTCGTGTTCTTGTGTTGTGATGTGATGATCCAGCCTGCACAGGTAGTTGCTTCTCTGCCATAGCATCTCGCTGCCGGGAAAAAACGCAACAGCTGCTTGACGCGCCTGCACATAGCCTCTAGTCACTGACTTGGTGAGGCACTTGGCTGATGTATGTTGCTTCCTGTTATTGACCCTTGTATTGCATGGTGCATCCTGGCTCAAGGCAGGGGAGGGCATCTTCAACAATAAGGTTGGGGTTTAAGGAGTCACGATGCAAGGTAGGCCCTTGGGGCATGATTTAATATTTTCCATTACTGGGCTTAAGAGGCTCACGTCTGGGAATATTTTCTTAAAGGGCTCTCAAGGCCGGATTAGGCTCCAGGCTTTAGGCTTGAGGCTTTGGGCTTTGGGCTTTGGGCTTTCGGCTTAGGGCTTCAGGCTTCAGGTTTCAGGCTTCAAGCTTTCAGGCTTCAGGCTTCAGGCTTCAGGCTTCAGGCTTCAGGCTTCAGGCTTCAAGCTTTCAGGCTTTAGGCTTTAGGCTTCAGGCTTGGCTTCAAGCTTCAGGCTTTAGGCTTTAGGCTTAGGCTTTAGGCTTTGGGCTTTAGGCTTTCGGCTTTATAGGCTTGAGGCTTTAGGCTTGAGGCTTAGGCTGGCTTTCGGCTTTCGGCTTGAGGCGGTAGGGTTTCGGCAGAAGAAAAAGCTTCGACCTTAGGCTTTAGGCTTCGGGTT